CAACTTATTGATCGACATTCAGCACTACAAACGTCGCATAAGGAAGATTCCGACCGCATTCCATTCACTCTCACGTTTCACCCTCACAACCACTCAGTTAAATCCATCATTCTTAAAAACTTTAAATTACTTCAAAACGATCCAGAGACAAGCACTATCTTTTCGCAGCCTCCGCTCATTTCATTCAAACGCGACAAAAACATAGGCAATTTTTTGATCAGAAGTTCTTTTCAGACTAATGACCAACCAGGCACTTTCAAATGCGCTCGTGCACGATGCAAAACGTGTCCTTTCATTCACAACGCTGGTTTATTTCATTCTCATGACATGTCGGACCGTAAAACCCTAGTCAAAAAGTGAGATGTTGAAAGTCAAAATCATGTACATTGCATGATGAGGAACGATAACAAAATAGACTTTCCTTGTTTTCCGAAAACATCGAGATTATTATTCAAACAAATAAATAAATAAAGCTGACATCAGCGCATTTAAAATACGAAAAATCATTGTGTGTAACATTTATAGATTTGGTAATTAACTCTCGAGCACTTCAGTGCTTTGGAAGGTTTATAAGACTGCGCGGAAATTAAAGGGTGTGTTGGATTCAGGGTGACATAGTAATCACCGTTCAATATTGTAATTAGAGACCTTAAGAAACCACGACTGCGACGGCAACGAGGACGTGGAAAAACAAGAGATCTAATTGGCAGAACAATAGCTCAGCACGTGCATTTTGAAACTTTGTACATTTCTTAGCCGTCCTATGTAAAACAACAACGTGAAATCGCCAAAATTTGCGTCATCAGCGAGCCGAAACCACGACGGCAAATATTTTAATTTCCAGTTGAAACTCAACGCTACTTTTATACGTCCTACTGAAGTTGAGCTGTGGCGCCGTATGAGACAATAAGCTCATGCAGCTATTTTTGAAATTCTAACTAAGAGTAGAAATTCATTTTTAATCGAAGTCTTCCTTGGCGTTGCCGTCCTGACTGCTTAAGGTCCCTATTATATATTCAAAACTCATATACCTAAACACCATGTTACGGTAAACTTTCACCACTTTCACCGTTATTGCTGTCAGAGTTTTCTGTATTTTTTTTTCGGTTTGATTTACTGTTGTTTTGCATAACTGCGTTTTTCTCTCTTTTTGTCAGCGATAACTCCGTGACACCCACTCTTAAAATACAGAGTCATTTAAAAGATAAAAGTACATAAAAATATTTTAAAGCCGTATTTACAATGCAAATGTCTCGTCCACTATCGATGTCTGAGAAAGTCAATCGCAGTACTTTAGAGAAACTTTTAAAATAGAGTAATCTTAAATGATGCCCATTCATTTATAGCACATCGTCTACATAAACGTAGCTCCCAGAGAAGGATGTTCATGTCAGAAATTTAATTTCATATGTTGCGGAAAATAATATACAATAATAAGCACTAGAACATAAGAAATTTACTTCCCATAAATGGCGTTCCGCAGCATTCTCTAGGACAACTAAAATCAAAGAAAGCACCCTTAACAACAACATTGATGTCCTCGAAGCCCGCACTGAAACTCAATCTTCTTCGTATACCGCGGAGTGCTCTTGTAAAGATTTCTTTTCCAGTCTTTCAATGGCAAGCTTGGCAGCTGTAGCTTTAGCTATCTTCATGTTCGTTCCCTTTCCATTGAACTCTCCCCAGTGCACTCTCAGAGTACACTGGATCTTCCCATCATCAAGGGTCTTCGCTTTCCTGGAGAAAACAGACACATGAACATCAGAATAACCTATAGTGTGATAGCTAGTAGACAAGGCTTCTCTTACTCGCTCTAAACGCGTGAGATATAAGAAGCATGGCGTAACGTAAACCACATGTGGCCACTCTCGGGTGCGAATTGTAATTTGCGGTTTTCTAAGCTTTACTGACTGGTGTGCAGATCTTAAGCGCACGAGTGAACTTTTTCGTGGGAGTTATTGAGATTATGCGATCTGGCAAATTTTACCGCACCGCTACCACATTTCTGTGTAATCTTCCTCAACATCTCCAAATGTCGAGAGAAAATTTTGACAATTTCTTGTTCCACCACACTACTTTTCACCCTTCGTTCACGCCGAATAGTTTTATTTTCCGTCATTTCAAGGTAATTCTGACACTGTACACGTGCACGGGCCCTTGATTTTGGAAAGGTCTGCCACACTAGGCCACACCTTTACGAACTACTTTTTTTTAGAACTGCTCACACTATTTATAAATATCGCTCTTGGAAAGAATGTAGTCTATTACGCACTACAATTATTTTCATCTTTAGCTCAGTCAACCAGAGACGTATACAATGAGAGTCAACCAACTATCAAATATTTTAAACTTGAACTTCAAACTCACCCAAAGTCGGCCCTCTCGTCTTCCTCGTAGACATGTCTGATGGGATTTCGCGGTATATTCACCGAGTAATGATCTGAATCGAAAACATCAAATTAATCAATTTTTTTAGTGTTCTTTTTTTTCTCTAGGTTGGCTATCAAACAGCGTTCCTTTACATTTTTGATAGCCTGGGCTGAATGCTTTAACTCGATGTTGAAGAAGGCTTTCGTTGACTCATCCTAACTCATTTGTCAACTTATAGCGAGAAAAAGTTCTGAGTTCTTTACTGGCAGGGTTTTTCCCAAGTAGGGTCCTCGTAATGATAAGTGTAAGACTCTTGTTACTCTCCCAACTCTACCCTCGCGGGTGAAGATGGCAAACTTACCGATGTAGGGTTTCATCATGCGGTAGTACACGCCCCACGTTTTAGTCAAATCCATACCGCTGTCCAAAAATATCGCGCCTGCTACTGATTCAAAGATGTCACCAAGAACTTTAGGCGCCTCGATTCCTTCTTCTTCTTCTTCAGACACGATAATAAATGGGTCAGCTGTGACCTGATAAATGAATGATACTCTTAACAAATCATCTGAAAATGATAATTTGGCGGAGATAATAATCTTTAACCCTATGGTCCCTTATAGTAATTATCATCTAAGGTCTTCTTACAATATCACCCTGATTTACAGGTTAGGGTAACGAAAATACAGGAATGATCACCAACAACAGAGGCAAATTCTCCTTGTGAGCAACTTAGGAAATATATTAAGAACAGTATGGAGAGTAAACAAACTGATGTTAGGGTGTAAGCGGTTGCAGAATGAAGTTCACCCTACCGTTTGAGGGCGATTGTGTTTCCTCTCTTCTACCTCATCTTCCACTCTCTCCAGAAAGTTCTTCACAGTTTGTAACCACTTAGGAGACATATGCTTGAGAAACTTGTGGTAGTCATGTTTCACGGCAAGGGTGGCAAAGATGTTATTGTTCACCAAGGCCTGTCGAATATCAGTCAGTTGTCCGGGTGACAAGTTGACACGACGGAAGTACAAATGTTGCGTGACCAAAAAGTCGAGCAAAGCATCGCCAAGGAACTCGAGTCGTTCATAACTTGGTGTGACACGGTTTTCGTGGTACGACGCGTGAGTTAGAGCTTCTACCAAATACAACTTTTGTTGAAAATTGTACGAGATTGCTTTATTTTCAAAGTTTTCCAGGCCAGAAGTGAGACGGGAAACCATATCTCCTTTACCTTGCGTTGCTGTTACATTTGTCTGATCCGGCCAAAATCTGGCATAGCAACCCGATTTGCTATTCTCTGCCAACGAATCAATGCCGTCGTCGGAATCAACTTCAGGTAAAAGTTTTAGCCATAGAAACTTCATGAATCGCAGTGCACCAAGATAACCACAGGAAATTAGATACGCTCCGATCAGTCCTTCGACGCTGTCTGCTACGGACTTGTCCGCTATCATTTGCGTGTTACATTTCTGGCGCAAATTCTCTGTAGCAGTAAGTTTTCTCTTCTTTCCACTCTCACAGTAATATTCACTTCCACCAGTAGTAATATTTACCTCATCATCTGCTGATTTGTAACAAGAAGTAAAAATTATAATGATCACCCAATTCAACATTTAGGGTACCACTTACTGTTGCTAAATGTAATAAATATCCAATTCCCAAGATCGTTAACAAGGTATAATGTTAACCCATATAGGGCTGACTAGAAATGGAAATAGAAGATGTTTACTGAAGTGAAAGTTGGGAGTAAACACAGTGAATTTCCTAGTTTGCCTATTTTTCAGAATTTCAGTGATCCTAAAATAATCAAAACTTTTATTGTAAGATTGCAGAATGATTTCTGGTCAAGAATTAAGTAAAACAGTGGTTTTCAGAGGAAAAAACTATTAATAATTTTTGTATGCCTTCAAGGTCTTCAACATTTTCAAATCATGCCATGTCACTACCAAGCAATTTACAAAGATCAATTTTCTTGGAGAATGCTTGCTTTATTTGTATTCAACCTAGTCTAAGAACAGAGATGCAATTCCCTACTTGTATCATTCTTAACCTCTTTAACCAATTTGGCTCTGCTTTTAGCCTCGTTGCAAGTGCCCTTGCTACAGAATTCAAATATCAAAGCTTTGCAACTGCCGCTGATCAAATAAATGATGCTCTCCCAGTGGAGTGGAGTGAATGTAATACTACATTATCATCATGCTCTATTCAGAGATATCAATTTCACTGAACAATAGTCTAGGGCAATTTATACCAGTGGACAAAGGAATACATTTCAAACCAAAGAAATTTTGGGGTGTTATGAAAACTAAGACCCTTGAAAATGAAGACCTAAGACCTAAGACCCGTCTTAGTTTTCAAGATTATGAAAACTAAGACCACCTAAAATTGAATCCCTTATAATATAAAGTCAAACTGTAACCAAAACAGGTTTAATCTGTCAAATTATCTCCTGTTCAATCCTTTCCACCGAGTTTTAGGTCAAATTTAACGGTAAATTTAGGGGTCTTAGTTTTCGTAATTTTGAAAACTAAGACCCCTCTTAGTTTTCGTAATTATGAAAACAAAGACCCACACCAAACCATTCTGTGAAATGTCTACAAAGTCTAATTGCAACCGTTCAAAGACTATAATCTGTAAAACAACCAAAAACTACAATCGTAAACATGCTAGACGATCTGCTTCTTCTAACAATTTGCAGACATATATCATCAGCATTGTGGCTTATAAAGATGACGAAAGCCATACACTCACTACCTATGTATAATTGTACACTGAAAATATGCCTTACCCCAGTTGTTCTTTAATTTTGTTGTTTATCCTTTAAATAAAAAAATTTGACTTTAAATTTCGACGGACTCGATTTTAGATGGGTCTTAGGTCTTAGTTTTCATAACACCCGAAATTTTGTCCTATACTCCCCTTAGGTATCCAGTCAAGTTGTCGACTGTTCGACCCACCAACGCCAACTCACCGACAGATAAAATCGAGTGGAGACATTGGCGAGTTGGTCCTCAATCCAGTACAACTTATTAAAAGTTAAACATATAGAAAAGTAAATGATTTTTAGTATAAAAAACATTTTTTTTCTTCCAACAATGCAAAGTTTATAAGGATCTCAAGGCGATCGTGTGACAACAACACTGTAAAGACCCATCATGTCAATTGGTCAGATTTTTTAGGAAAACTTGGCTTACTAGACAAGATCTTTAGTAAAAGACAATTGTTTTCATTTGCTACAAAGTCTATAACGATCTCAAAGGTGAATAAAGTAAAGCGAACATCGTTAATGACCAAAAAAGCTGTAGATGTGAACGAGTTATTGTGACAACCACAGCAATCATGCGGAATCACATGTTTTTATTTAACTTTAAAGAATAATTTATTCATGATCAAGAACGTTTAATTTAAGATGCAATTTCAGATATTATAGAGATCAGGTGAACATGTGAAAGTAATGTATATCATGCAATTACTCTGCTCTTGTAGGTCCGTTTAATCTCGACATCGATTTTAATAATTGGGCCACTGTTCTTTCGCCATTCTCATATTTCTCCCAAAATCCAAATTAATAACCTTATTCTGTAATTGCCTAGAAGCCCTTCTTTAAATTCTCGTTGGCTGACCACGTCTGAAGCTGTTGTAGTAATTGGTGATGGTTATCTTGCTTTATTCGCCTTGAGATCCTTATAAACTTTGTTGAAATAAAAAGAATTGTCTTTTAATAAAGATCTTGTCTAGAAAGCCAAGTATTTTTTAAAAAATCTGACCGATTGCCATGATGAGTCTGTACGGTGTTGTTGTTCATTTTTTTTCATTTTTTTTTTGTGTTCATATATTTGTTTTAGCAGGTTGATTAATTTCGCAGCTGTAATAGCTGATGTGGACCTGCTGTCCTAACCCACCCATCC